TCAAAATTTAGATGAGCAGTCCATTCAGAATTGATTTGTTGTATGATGTGGGCAGTTACTGTGATTTATCTTTTACCTAATAGAGCTAGCAGTTTATTCTAAAAATGTTCTATTATGCTCTCCTTATTTTGCTTTTTCTTATCATAGCTTCACCCAGTTATGATCACCCCTTCCTTAGTGCTGACTTTTCCATGGAATATATTGGAAAATTTCTCCATTTATTCCTGTCTCTTGGAGTCTTCAGCAATCTCACAGGACCACAGAAGTTACTCTTGGTGTAAAATTCTTCAGTGAGCCACTTTGCTCAGATGAATGATTGTTACTACTATTTAGAGGAAAATATGCTAAGTAACAGAATGGGCCCCAGAGATTTGGCAATAGCAATCATCTTCTTATCACAGACGATTGTTGGAATCCTGGGTAATTTCTCTCTACTTCACCATTATGTCTTCCATTACCACACTGAAGGGAGGTTGAGACCCACAGAGCTGATCCTCATGCACCTGACTATAGCCAACTCCTTGGTGATGCTCTCAAAAGGTGTCCCCCAGACATTGGCAGCTTTTGGGTTGAAATATTTCTTAATGAGATTGGATGCAAATTTCTTTTGTATGTTCAGAGAGTGGGCAGGGGAATATCCATTGGCAGTACCTGCCTCTTGAGTGTCTTCCAGACCATCGTGATCAGCCCTATGAACTCCTGCTGGAAAAATCTTAAAGTCAGAGCTCCAAAATATGTTGGCTTCTCCATTTCCCTTTGCTGGATCCAATATATGTTTGTAAATTTAATTTTTCCTACATATGTGTTATATGTGTCCAGCAAATGGCACATGAAAAACATCACAAAGCAACGAGATTTGGGGTATTGTCTTTCTATAGATAATGAGACAATCACAGTTTCCATATATGCAACATTGATAGTATTTCCTGAACTTTCACTTTCTGGGCTCACAATCTGGACCAGCAGCTCTATTTCTTCACTCTGCACAGACACAAGCAGCGGGTCCAACACATTCACAGCACTAATGTCTCCCTCAGATCCTCTGCTGAGTCCAGAGCCACCCAGAGCATCCTTGTCCTGGTGAGCACCTTTGTGTCTTTCTACTTACTGTCTTCCATCTTTCATGCTTGTATTGCTCTTATTTATAATCCCAGCTGGTGGCTGGTGAAGACCACTTCAGTAATTTCCGTGTGCTTTCCAGCTGTCAGCCCATTTCTGCTCATGAGACAAGACTCCAGAGTACCTAGGCTCTGCTTTTCCTGAATAAGAAACACGAAATCCCCTAACCTTACCAGAAAAAATGTGAATTATATGTTTCTGAGAAATTCCCAGTTTATTTACTCCTCCTACTGGAAAAGTCAATACAGAATCTAAGAAGTAACCACATGACTTTCCAGTGTGGATACTAATGGACATTGGTGGTTTCATCAGCTGGTTGAAATGGGTCATATACTAGGAGAGTGGAAGTGAACAAAGCAGTTTGGCCTCATTCTGATGCCTACTGTCCTGACGACAGTTGTCTTAATGAAATGCTATTGAGGGAAATTGAGTGGATTCGATTCTAGCTTCTCAGCCATTGATTAGAGTGCTTCACCGAGGGGTGTACTCAGAAAAATTTGCCAGAAGTGAATACTGTGAAGAAATAGGTGCTCAATATTGTTGGAAGGCAAGTCTCCATGGGTGTCTCATGTATATGCATATCTTATGGGCAGAGGCATGGGAAACTTTTGTTCTGGACTGTTTTTCACAGATGTTTGTGTAAAGAAGCACCTTTGAAGATATAAATTAGTGTCATCCATTGAGGCAGTGGACAGATTAGTTTGTTGTACAGAAAAATAAGAAACTCCAGCCAAGAAATGGCAATGACAAAGGTGACAAGAATTTTTGGAGATCTGGGGAGAAAGTTAAGCCTGAGAAGTCTCCTTGAACATCAGGAGAAGTCCTGAGACATAGTGAGTTAGAAAATCTTCAAAAGTTGAAAGGATATCTGAATCCTTATCTAAGAGTTTCATCTCCCCTCCACAATGAATGCTGGTTGCCAACGTACTAGGGAAGTCATTCCTTAAAAACATCTTGTTGGTGAGTTTAAGCTAAAACTGGAAGTAGATCCCCAGAACCAGCTTTAAATATGTCCCACTATAATAACCTTGCTTAAGATACTTATTAGCTTTTAATGTCTCATTGCTTCATTCTCAGACTGTGCTCAGAAAAAAGGGGACAACCTCTCGGGTACTATATGTCTGTGTGGAGGACAGAGGATGCAGCTAGGTTTATTTGGAATCCCATGCCCCAAAGTTGCAGGTTCCAAAGGATGAGAATTTTGCCCTAATTGAATGGAGAGGTGACCCTAGAAGACTGAAATCAGTAGCGCATGCTGGAGGAAATGTGAAATGAGATATCCCATTCAAGAGGGAAGTCCTCCTGCCCCAGATATAAGTGTGGCTCAAAACCTTTTGAGCAAGGCAATCCATTCCTGCCAAGAAAGGGCACACTCTCCCAAAAGTTGAAGTAAAAAGGAAGATGAAACATATGTGTTAGTTACTGTACCCTGGAAAACAAATAACTTGAATTGGAGGTGGGGGGGGGGGCTAAAGCCAAGTCAAAGTCAGCTTCTGACAAAGGTCAGATCCACTTGAAATCAGATCTTTCAGCATGAACTGTAGAGAGACTCTGAAATTTGGGAAAGCAAGACAGTCATTTGCCTGATCCCAGGGAAGAAGCTGTGCTTTTAGCATGGACTGCAAATCTGGGATGAGGGTCAGCTCAAGGAGTGATTCCTGCCCAGACAGTGCCCACGGATGGACTCGTGAGTGATGACAGGGCTTCTTCCTAACTTGAGCAAAGAACAGTGATGAGTGTTACATTCAACATCCAAAAACCCACCTCTGGAAGCCTGAGATCTCCCCTCTCCATAGGTGTTCTCTGTCTCTCTCTCTCTCTCTCTCATATCAACCCAGAACTTCACTGGGGACATGAAGTTGCACAAGCCTGGAATTGCAGTGCAGATGCAGGAAAGAAAGAAGGAAAGTGTGAACTACTTTTCAAAAGGAGAAGGAAGCTCCAGTGGTACCTTTATCAAACTCTCCTAGCTGGAAACTAGGAGCCTGGTCTACAGGTGGTAAAATAAAGAGTAAAGAGATTTTATAGGAAGGTAAAAAGAATGCCCTTTTGGGTGGAGTCCACTACTTAGGATCTGAGAGCATCAGGAATTAGGGTGCAAGGACAGAAGTTCTATGAGCATAACATGAAGGCTCACATGTGTACTTTCACAGGGAGACTCCCCTGTGGGACTCACAAGGTCCCTGTGAGGATTGCCAGCAATGTGCCATCTTAAAGGAGGAATCTGAAAATCAGGAGGTTAACATTTACCCGAAGTCAGGATTGAAAGTTCTGCTTTCATACCCAACCAGCAGTCCCTCCCCCATCCTACCCCAGCGGAGAAGAGCCTGCACCAACTCCATTCTCCTGATTCCCGTGGATGGGCAGACAGTATGGGAGACGTGTCTCAGGCTCTGTTTCCCTGCTGTGGCTTCCCTGTGAGGGCTTTGCTTCTGGAGAGGGTAGGCCACAGCAACTGACACCTCAGAGACTGGAGACCTGGGATACCATAGAAAGGAGAGGTTCGGGGTACTCCTTAGAGGCCCCAGGATTGGTCAGACAGACCCTTGACTTTGTGTCAGTTTTCCTGGGCTGCCATAACAAAATGCAGTATTCAGTGTGGCTTAAAAAACAGGTATTTTCTTCCACAGTTCAGGAGGCTGGAGGTCCAGGATACATCAGAAGGTGTATTTTCTTGTGACATCTCCTTGCCTTACAAGTGGCCACCCTTTAACCATGTCCTCCCGTAGTGTGGCTTCTCTACATGCAGAGGTCTGGGGTTTTTCTGTGTCCCCGATTCTCTCTTATAATTACACCACTGAGAGTGGATCAGGGCTCACCCTAATGGACTCATTTAAAAGAAAATTTTTTAATGTTTTTATTTCTTTTTTTAAATGTTTTATTTCTGAGAGAGAGAGAGAGAGAGAATGTGAGCAGCTGAGAGTCAGAGAGAGAGGGAGACACAAAATCTGAAACAGGCTCTCTGAGCTATCAGCACAGAGCCTGACACGGGGCTCGAACCCATGAACCACGATATCATGACCTGAGCTGAAGCCGGACACATAACTGACTGAGCCACACAGGCACCCCTGTTTTTATTTATTTCTGAGAGAGAGACACACACACATAGAATCCCAAGCAGGCTCCAGGCTCTGAGCTACCTGCCAGCACAGAGCCCGATGTGGGGCTTGAACCCACGAACTGAGATCATGACCTGAGCCAAAGTGGTCAGAGGCTTAATCAACTGAGCCACCTAGGCACCCCTAATGTATTCATTTTAACTCCATTACCCTTCAAAGTTCTAACTCCAAATAGAGTCACCTTCTTTTTTTTTTTTTTTTTTTTTTTTTTTTTTTTTTTTTTTTTTTTTTTTTTTTTTTTTTTTTTTTTTTTTTTTTTTTTTTTACAAATAGTTTATTGTCAAGTTGGTTTCCATATAACACCCAGTGCTCATCCCCACAAGTGCCCTCCTCCTTCTGATACTGGGATTTAGGACTTCAGCCTATCAGTTTGAGAAGATCCAGTACAGTCATTAACACTCAGCGGGCTGGACCCCTCAAATTCATGTCCTACATGAAAATCCACTCCCCTCCCCATACCAACAGCCCCAAAGTCTAAACCACTGTATAATCCACTCTAAGTCCCAAATCCCACCTACTATCAGCCAAGTCAAGAGTGGTTGAGATTTGAGATATGATTCATCCTGAGGAAAACCTGTCTTCTCCAGCTATAAACCTATGAATGCAGACACATTCCCTGCTTCCAGAATACAATGGTGGGATGGGGAGAGTGTGGACATTCCCATTCCAAAAGAAGGAATTGAAAAGAAGAAATGGGTCACCTGTCCCCAGTAAGTGAAATATGTAGGAGGGAAAATTTCCTTAGGTTTCAAAGCTCGAGGGTTATGCTCTTTGACTAGGTGTGTTGTCTTCTGGGCCTAGGGGGCTGGTGTTCCTGCTGTGCAGCTCCCCCTGGAATGCCATTGTCCAGGGGGAGTCCTGTAATACAGGTGATCCTTAATACTCTGCCCCTGTACCCCCCCATCTCCTGCTGTGTAAGGTGTTCCTTTCCCAGGTGTACAGGTGTTCCTCCTCCTCTACCTCAGACTGTTCCATGTCAGTACCTGTACTTCAGCTTTCTTGCAGCCATCTCATAGTTTACTCAAATGTTTTGTCTGGAAGAACCAGGTACAAGAGGGCTAGTGTGCTCATAGAAATTGAACTAGAAATGAGCTTCAGTCCAAGGACAGACAGTGAGATCCATGTTTGTCACTGTTGTAGAGACAAGGGACAGATGAGCAAGGGAAGGAAGTTAGAATGATCCACGTGGAATGGGTTAGACTTGGAGACATCACCAGGAAGTCGTGTTAACTCTAAATGGACACAAATGATCCCACGCACACATTTCTACATATGTACATAGGACTGGTTCAGCACACACATGTACAATTTCTTGGTGTTTGAGCTGAGAGGGCATAAACACAGTGACACCCAGGAGCTGTGAGCACACCTGCTGTCCATACCTTGGTCCATGGCACAGTTCTCCTACAGCAGCAGCCGGGGGCTGCCTGGAGAGACGGCACGGCCAGAACTAGGTCAGGACATGTATGAAATCAGCATGCAGAGCTCTGGTGCCTTGTGTCAGGACATGCTAAACAACCCCAGTTATAATAATGAGCTGTGTCAGAGGGACACAGGAGTCACCTGAAAGAGCTTCCCATGGTCAGGCTGGAACACCTTGATTTTAAACAAGAGGAGAAGAAGCAGTATTGGCTGTAACTCAGAGCATCAAACATGTGCAGGAGCCTAAACAATATGAATAAGTCACTGAATAAAACAATAGAGAAAAAAAACCCTTTTTCTGAAACTCCACATACTTTATGTCAAAATTTTATCCTTATGAGAGTAGAACATAAAATCCTTATTGTAAATGTGGGCTGTGCACAGTGACTTCTTTGCAACGAGTACAGTATGAAAAAGGGACACATAAGTTTCAGTGACAAGTCCTCATGCACATGACCTCATCCACAGATCACAGCCTAAGAAAGGCAGGATGGACCTTAACCTGCCTTCCATGGTTTTCCACTTCACAAGTAGACCCCTGGCAGCAGCCTAGGAATCTGACCTGTGACCAGTAAAGGAAGGAAGTACCTCTGATTTTTGTTCTGCAGAGCCGGCACTGACACTAACCCAGCCCAGTGGCCCAGGGGACACCATTACCCTACCTAAACCATCAGTGAACAGGGAGATGCATTTAGGGCACTCTCAGAATTGAAGCTTCCTAGTGCCAGTGACTTTGGCTACACTATGGAGCTTAAACTTTCCTCTAAAGGAATAGGTCCCACTGATTCTTCTCAAGACATGTTGCTGGGGCCCATCTGCTTTCATTTGTGAATATGCACTTTACATGGGACATGGAGTTTTGGTGCCCTTCTTACCTCGTCAGAAGTGGAGTCCATGTTGACAGTTTCCAAAATTGGTTTTTAAGGGTGAGTTTTGAGGAGAGCTCACTAAAAAGCTAATCACTACCTTAAAAAAAAATGTACATCTTGTAGCTGTGTGGCGGAGGTACCAAATTCATATACGAGTGGGGCTTCTAGTGGAGTCTGCCCCCTTTTGCCAGAGGCCCCAGTGACAGACTCCTCACTCACAGAGAAGTGTGCCACATCCCACACTCCAGGAGTCCAGGAAGGGCTGCAACCCTTTTATGTGATGGGAAGCCAAAGACAAGGATTTTTTTACCTTTACTCCTGGAGGGATTAAGCACTGTGAACCTGCCCATAGATTTCCACTGTAATTTTCACTGGAAAATAATACTCTGAATTTGGTTGGGTTATAACAGCCACACATACTGGCATGAGACAGGTTGATTGAGACTGAATCCTCTAACTTGCCAACAGAGAGTATATAATGAAAGTTTACATTTGGTGATCATGTCTCCTCTGACTCCTCTTTGCTGTGACAGTTTACCAGATTTTCCTCATTTTTGACGATCATTATAAAGACAAACCTTGAAGTATATGTTACCTGATATGTAATTGCTGTTGTTAAATTGTTTTAAATTCCATAAAATAATACTTTTAACTTTGCTACTTCAATTCTTATTTTTGACTTTATTCTTATTTTTTTTTACTCTATTTGTATTTTCTATTTCAATTCCTGTAGGTCTTGAAAAACCTTTTACAAACAAGTATACATTTCACCCCTTCTCTTTGGAAGTTGTACCTTTAGTATTTGTTGGGTTTTCAATCTGGAAATTTTAGCATGATTTGAAAAACTAATCATGGAGTCTTTTTAGCCAGTACATTAAACTCCTTCTTGACAATGTAAAGACATTATGCATAAATCTCACAATAGCCCATGATTTTTTTGTGTGATATGTGTTTTTAAATACATACAGTCCGTTAATACAGTACACAGATCAATGACACTGTGCATACTGATCACATTTCTGTATGCAGTACAAACTCAATGCACAGAATATCATCAGACCCCTGGAAGCCCCCATCTGCTGTCCCGGAGCCTTACCAACATAGGTTATTTTTGCCTGTTTGGTATTTTGTATAATAGAACAATAGAGCATTAACTCTTTTGTATTTGATTTTTTTCATTTCTTATGTTGTTTGGGATTTTATGCTTCCATATTGTTCATCCCCTGGCAATGCTGTATAGGATTCCGTTTTAGGAATATCAAACAATGGGTCATTCCACTGTTACCGGGAGTGAGTCTAGAGAAGCAAGATTTTTTTTAGTTAATTTTTTTAATGTTTTATTTATTTTTGAGAGAGAGAGAGAGACAGTCTGAGCAGGGGAGGGTCAGAGAGAGAGGAAGACACAGAATCTGAAACAGGCTCCAGGCTCTGAGCTGTCAGCACAGAGCCCGATGTGGGGCTCGAACCCACGAACCGTGAGATCATGACCTGAGCCAAAGCTGGATGCTTAACTGACTGAGCCACCCACGTGCCTCGAGAAGCAAGATTTAAGGAAGAGATTTCTGGAATTAGCTTTCAAATCTCTTTAAATTTATAAATGCAAAAGAGAGTACTGATAACCCATCACAGAATATCTGCTCTCAACACTCCTAATTAGCTACTTAAAAAAAAAGTATCTGGGTGAACATGTGTTTGATACTTGCAAAGAATTTTGGAAAACTAATAAACATGATAACATTGGCTGATTGCTCTTAATGTTGCTGGACAAAGAGGTCAAAGAGAAGGCTGAACTTGGAAGTTTGAAGTTCCATCTGAAGTTCCTTATAAATGACCTTGAGGTCTCTCTGTGTGCCCTGAAGGAGACCCGAGTGTGTCCCTCCAGACCCCATCTTGCCAATATGCCCAGGTCGTCTTAACATAATAGAGAAACCTCTACTTTTTCCCAATCACAACACATTTCTGTTTACATTGTTAACACTCACTTGATGGTCTTAAAAATATCAATGGAAACAATTTTTCATTTTTGTGCTTTCCTTTGCCCCAATTATTCTGGCCATTTCCTCATGAAAATATGTTAACATGCTAATCTGCCTTCATAACATCATGTTTCAAATGAATCAGTGCCATCTCTCCAAGGATGTGACTTATCTGCAAAACTCCTAATTGGCTCCAGAGACACTACTGACCGAGAATGGATTTTTCCTCCAGCCCCATCCAGGCTATTCATTATTCAGTGTGGACATTATATTCTTCAGATGGAGGCATGACAAGGCCACATGCTAAGCCATATTTGTATAACTTTTCCTAAAATTCCATGCATTTCTTGGAGGTTTATTGCATTAGGTTGAAAGCCACACACTTGAAGACTTCTCTGAAATATACAGATTGTTTCAAGACCAGGCATTTATTATTGCTTAAATTCTGAACTCTTCTACTGAAAGTGTTAGGAAAACTTCAGTTATATAAGTATTTACAAGATAATTATATTTCATTACAATGTTATTATGATTTATTGTTTATTTTGAAGAAACTGTTCAGCATGTCCTATTTACCATTCCCTTTTGACTTATAGTATTATTTAGAACTCTGAAGGGGATGAATTAATTGGCAACTGTATATTATAGATATACACACAGTTTATATATTTCTCATAAGATGAGGGGATTTTATTATTTAAAAAAATTTAAGCTTATTTGAGAGAGACAGAAATAATTTTTATTTGAAAGAGAGAAAGTCTTAAGTAGGCTCCCACGACCCTGGTATCATGACCTGAGCTAAAAATAGTGAGATGCTCAACCGACTGAATCACCCAGGTGCCTCAGATGAGGGGATTTTATATTCCTTGTCCATGCAAAGCACAGCCTGGGTACCCTGGAGTCATGGCTCATGAGCAGAAAGTGGCTGACAGTTGGGAAACACATAGACATGATTGCAGTGATGTTCATGATGATCCAGCTGGGATTTTCAAAAACAGCCACAACCGCTTGAAAGATGGAAGAGAGGGTGTAAAAATAGACAAAGGTGCTCACCAGGAGAAGGATGGTTTGGTGGCTCTGGCCTCTGGGGAGGATCCGGAAGAGGTGTTGGTTCTTCTAATATGTTGGACTTGCTGCTTGTGCCTGTACAGAAGGAGAACCATGGAGCTGCTGGCCCAGAGCATGAGCCCCAAACATAAGACATCAGGGAATGATAACAACACTGCATACAGTGAGTCTCCTGTTTTGTCATGACAAACTGAAGAACAGTATACAAAATCCTTTTTTTCTGTGATGTTCTTATTGTCCAGTGTGCTAGCTAATTACACAGGAAAAATGATATCTGCCAACATTTGCAGGATCCAACACAGGAAAATAGAGGGGAAAATATACTTGGGAGCTTTAACTTTAAGCTCTGCCCACCTGGAGTTCCCAGGGCTGATGGTGATGGCCTGGTACACACTCAGGATGCAGATGCTACCAATGGACACCCCCCTCCCCACTCTGTGAAGAAAGAGAAGAAGTTTGCATCTCAGGTCATTGAGGAAATGTTTCCACCCAAATGCTGCCATAGTCCGGGGGACTCCTTTACAGAGCAGGGCTAAGAGGTTGGCTACAATCAGGTGCTTATGAATGAAATCTGTGGATCTCCACCTGTGCTCAGTGAAGGAAAGGATGATATAATGAGAGAGAAGTGAGAAATTGCCCAGGATTCCAACGATAGTCTGTGTTAACAAGATCAGACCGACGACTGCCAGATCCCTGTTGGCCACTGTCTCAGTTCCCAGTCACTGACAGTGCCTCCTGGGCTAGAACTTCCTGCATGGGAATACGAGGTGTGTGCCACATATATCACATCAGATGAATTCCATTATGTTCTGCTTTCCATTCTTTGCCCTTTGGAAATACCTACTTAATGTCTTCTTTTCAGAGCAGCTTCCAAGGGCTGAATGTAGAACTTTAAAGAGCCTTTATAACATACAATCAATCCTGTGAAGGCACTCATGTGATAACTTCTTCATGCTTCAGAAATCTATGAGGTCGGCACCACCATGGCTGTAACTAAAAGATGAAGAGAACAGACACACAGAGGGGCTAAGGATCTGTCCAAATCTGCTCCTTCAGGCTGTCATATTGGTTTGCTAGAGAGCTAGTTAGCTGTTCCATCCAATAATCCAGGTCTATAGTTACTTTTGACTTGATCCCTTGTGGGTGATTTTCAAGTGGTGGTATTATATACTTTTCATTGCAACAAGTTCCCATTTACTTGTAAAGATTTATTTGACAAAACACTATCAATTCTGGATAAAGCCTTAAATATCTTAGTAAATGTACATGCACTGCAGGCAGTAGCATACTTGCAGGAACCTGTCCCATGACTAGTTATGTGCAGAGGATGCAAGAGGAGATTGATACTAGGATGGCTGCAGACGCATTTGCTTTTATGTCAAGAACCCAAGTGTAATGGCAGCTATGTAATTCCATGGATCACATGTAATTCCATAAACTTTGGGACATAAAACACCAATGCCCGATAAAATAGTGTAAGGCAGAAACTAAATTATTATTAATTTCAGGTGATATAATTATCTACTTATTAATACCTGAGTTAAGACTACTAACAACTAACATTTGTGAATGATACTAGCATAAAAGATATTAGTGCAAACTGGCATTTGCAAGGCATGTATTGTTACACACTTTATAAATTGAGGTACTAGATTTTTGTGTTGATAGAATAATTTTTAAACAGGTGGAAAGAACATGATATGCACCTGAGAACTGCCATCTGGAACTTATAGTTATGTGAACTGTTCCTTACCTGTTCACTTCATAACTTTTAGAATGAATGTAGTTACACTATAATCAACAGCTTATGGATGTTTTCATTGGAGACCCAGTTATTGTCCCCAGTAATTGCATCATACATCCAAAGGCAGAGGAAACTTTTCAATTCCAGTCATTATCATTTGGATACACTTTCTGCATAGGATAATATGATTCCTGTAAATTCATCATACTCTTTACTACAAGCATGGAGGTGGTACAGATGCACCTCTAATAACCCTGAAAATTTAGTCTACGAATCCTATAATGTAGACTGCACAACAAATTGATTTTACAACTCTGTAAGGACTTAAAAATCTCTGTGTATTATTACTGGCATTAAATGCCAAGAAATCGCTATGAATGAAGATGATGTTTGTTGCTTTAGGAGCCATCACCAATTGGTGAAAGCCTGGGACCCCATCTCCTCTTTACTAGCTCAGCTCAAGCCTCAGAATTATTCCACCGTCCTGCATGGCTTTCACAATAAACCATTTAATATAAAGTAGATTTTGATATGATCACTTGCCCAGACTCTTGATATAGACACTGCCTCTCAGACTAAAAGAGAAATCCTCACCAACTCCTTCCTGCTGCCAGGAGGGGCTCAGTATGAAGCACATGGCAACCAGTCCGGGGGCGGGGGGGCGGGGGGTGGGCAGCCAGACTCTGAGATATAGGTTTGTGATTCTGTGAGGTCACGTCCCTCACAACTGCAATTATTTCATTTGCAGCCACACTGGGAATACAGGCTTGGGAGCTGAAGATGTTTCTGAAAATGTTCCCCAGTTGCTAATTACAAAAAACAGTTATGAGTTTCTAGTTAGAACTGTGTACAGAGACTGAGTATTTGTGAGAGGCATTTCCCCCCTTGATCCATGTAGTAGACAGCATCTCCTATAAAGGACATCAGGAAATACTGAGTACTGACACGGGAGGGATTACTGGAGAAGGATGTGTATCTCACTAGGTTCTTCACTTCCCAGAGAACTTCCTCTACCCAGAAACTAGTATTTTCCTAATCTTCAGACTACTGGACAATCAACTAAGGTTATTAGTAGAGAAACAGAATGACACAAAAATACCTGAGAAGAATACGCAGAGATACAAGTAAAAGGAAGTCCATGATGTAAATAAATCACTACAGAAATCACTTGGCAATCCAAGTTAATGAATTTGGACTTATTTGAATAATTCAGTGCCAATTAATATGAAAATTATGTAGGAAAATATGCTTTACCCACTACCTCACTCCCACTCCCACTACCCTCCCTGGCTCCTTGACTGCCCTGTGTCTCTTTCATCTCATTTATGGTCTCTTCCCAGGTTTCCTCTCCCCTTCTAACACTCTCTATCTAGCTTGCATCACACTGTCTTCCTCCAAGGCCCAACTGCCCCACATATAACCTCCTTCCTTCTCTCCCACCATGATTTTAACCCCTCCAAGACACTGTCTCCTGTGAATTCCACCAACTGCAGACCACTAATAACTTCTGTACAAAGTGCCCATCCAATCACATGGTGAAATCTAATTCCTGGTGTGATGGCATTTGGAGATGGGGCTTTGGGGAGATGCATAAATCATGAGGATGAGATCTCCTGAATAAGAACATAGACCTTATAAAAATGACTCCAGAGGGTTCATTGACCCCTTCCACCAGAAGAGTACACAGTAATAGGATGGCCATCTATGAGCTGGAAGTGAGCACAGGAGATGGTAGTTCTTAAAATCTCTCAGGTGATGGTAACAAGAAGCCAATGTTGAGAACCACTTAACCAAACGCTGCCTCTCAAAGTGTTTGTGTATGTGAATCTCCTGAATTCTTGTTGAAACAGAATCTACAGGAGAACCCTACTCTAAGAGATTGAAATAAACTGCAGTGGGATCCAGGAAGTAGCATTTTTAACAGGGTCTGTGGTGGTGCTGATGCTTCTCTCCCCAGAACCCTGTTTCCACAGCATTCCCCCACCCAGTCCCTCTTTCAGTAGCACTAGAGAAAGCAAGCAGAGCACCCCTGATCCTCTTACTCGCTACCATCACATGTCTGTCCTAGACTCTAAGTCTAAAGTTCTTTTTCGGCCACCGAGAGTGGATGCAGGATGAAAATAAGAGAGAGATGGCTAATGTCCAGGAAAAGACAAGAGGCCCGAATAAGGGTCCTTTCACTGTTTTTATTAGGATCAGAAGGCTTACAAATGTGCTGGGTGAATCAGCAAACATCAGCTCATGGACATGAGAGAAAGGGGGTTTTGAAGATATACAGTGTTTAGGGTTTGGGTCAATATAAAACAAAATCCTGGCACCAGGAAGATGGGCAAATAGTTGTTAAAGGCAGCCGGGAGGTGCCATATCTGTTTATCTTAGCTGCCTAGGGGATAAGACAGGGCAAAACATTTGAAGGTTAACAAAGCACCTTTTGTTTTGTAAACCTGCTCCCCTCAGGACAGCATCACCCGCAGGGCAGTGAGTTGGTCTATAGCCCAGTTTACCTGCTGACCTAACTTGGTCCTTCCTTCCTGTGAAAGCAGCTTTCTGCTATATTACAAAATTGGGGGGTGCTTTGCCCTGAATGCCTAATCTTGCTTACCTCATATATTTTTGTATTGGATGTCTTTGTACCACTCTCTATTTTGGGGCCTTTGCCCCTCCCTCTCTATTCTGGGGGATCTAAATCCCCACTCTTCTGGGGTGCCTTTGCACCTCCCTATTCATGGTGTCTTTTCACCTTCCTGTTCTGGGTGCTAATCTTGTTTACCCGAACTCGAATAAGAGCATCCTATGGCTTTATACTTCTTTATGCCTTGTTAACCCATTGGTGTAAGCCCAGGGGATCCCTAAGCTTATTCCCCACACATCTTCACATAAATACTGTGGGTTTCTTGCATTTATCAAATGAAGAGGAAGGAACAGAACCAGGATGGGTGATTTCTGTATATGCTCTAGGCACTTCCAGGTGAGGAACTGGCTTAGAGCTGTGGATCCTCCTCCTGGAAGGTTAGTTCTCACGGAATGTGGGCTGGTGGTGGTCTGGGAATGCTTGTGAGTCCAAGGGAGGGAGGGGCCCTCCTAAGCTCATGGCTGATCTGGAGTCTGCATGTGACAGGTGGGTGTCAGGGTCACGTGAGAGTGACTTCTTTGGACTAGAATCTGGTGGCACCTTTATCAGTGTGTCATCAGTGATGAATTCCAGGACCTGGTGCTGCCCTCGAGGACATAGGTTTTAGGGGGAGTGGCTTTGGTCCCCCTGGGTGGGGGTGGGGTTGAGGGGCATTACGATGTTCCCCTTTGGTGCACAGGCCGGAGGTCCTGGGCTAATAGGAAGTGGGAATGAGGGAAGTTCAGGACCCACCTGGAGAGGGGCAAGCACATGTTAGTGCAAAGATGAGTTTGCGCTTCAGATTGTGGTTGCAGGTAGAGTGGAATCTGAGTGTGTGAGCTTGGGGAGAAACTGGAACTTGTGGGTGGTCACGGTGTCCAGATGTGGACTAGAGAATCTAGGTCTGATGAGAGACTTGGGCATGAGTGGGAGGTAGGTGAGGGGGCACCTATAGCAGGACCAGCATTGTTGAGAGGCCTTCTCAGCTGCAGTCTGGTTGTGTGGGGGACTGAGCCACCCCGGTGTCCAGGCGCCAGCGCAAGTGTTGGCCCGGCACAAAGCACGCCGCTTCCAGCACTCATGATCCAAATAGCAAGTGCAAGCCCGCGGGTCCACACGCTGCTGGAGGAAACCTGAAATGATAGCCATGTGCAAATGCCAGACCTCCAGGCCCTCCTCGCGGCCACCTCGCTTGAATCGTGTCTTCCCCTGGACCCGCGTGCATCTGGAGGAGTGACTGGATATCAGCACATAAAGTCTTGAAAATTGCACTCCACATTGCCCACTCGTTCTTCTCATGGTCTGAATTGTCTCAGAAATTCTTCCAAGGCACACGTGAAGGTGTTTTCATTACAAATTTGTTTGAAAATGAACAAATGAAAATATTTTAAATGAGCAACAATAGGTGTTTGAATTATTTGTGTAATGGACTTAAGCCTTTGAAACTGTTACCTTAAATGTATATTTGATGATGTACAAAGATATCTTTAACCCATATCAATGAAAGGAGTTATAACACAACTTTTAGAGATTATCAGTTTATTGTCACCTTTTAAGTGCAATATATGTATCCTAGGTGTGTCAGATATAGAAAATAATGTGTGAAGGTTATCATATATTCACATCACAAGTTTGAATGTGGATTTCACTGTTATAGGACCACAGGCTTTTTTTTTTTTTCATTTAGTGATAGTTTCTCGTGTTAATACGTACTGATTAAGATAAAATTGTAAAATAGTGATTTCAGTTTTCCCATGTAGTTTTGTAAAGGTTTGTTTATTTTTTAAAATTTGTTTATTTAAGGAATCTCCACACCTAATATGGGGCTCAAACTCAAACCCAGAGATTAAGAATCACATGAACTATGAGCCAGCCAGGAGCCCTATTTTTCCCCATATTTTTAAGAACATTTAATCTCTGGGGCGCCTGGGTGGCTTAGTTGGTTAAGCGTCC